GATTTGATTCCATTCCTGCTGTACGATTTGATTCCATTCCTGTTGTATGATTTGATTCCATTCCTACTGTATGATTTGATTCCATTCCTGCTGTATGATTTGATACCATTCCTACTGTATGATTTGATTCCATTTCTGCTGTATGATTTGATTCCATTCCTACTGTATGATTTGATTCCATTCCTACTGTATGATTTGATTTAACTCCTGCTGTATGATTTGATTCCATTCCTGCTGTATGATTTGATTCCATTCCTACAGTATGATTTGATTCCATTCCTACTGTATGATTTGATTCCATTCCTACTGTATGATTTGATTCCATTCCTGCTGTATGACTTAATACCATTCCTACTGTATGATTTGATTCCATTCCTGCTGTATGGTTTGATTCCATTCCTGCTGTATGATTTGATTCCATTCCTTCTGTATGCTTTGATTCCATTCCTGCTGTATGATTTGATTTAACTTCCTGCTGTATGATTTGATTCCATTTCTGCTGTATGATTTGATTCCATTCCTACTGTATGATTTGATTCCATTTCTGCTGTACGATTTGATTCCATTCCTGCTGTATGATTTGATTCCATTCCTGCTGTATGATTTGATACCATTCCTATAGTATGATTTGATTCCATTCCTACAGTATGATTTGATTCCATTCCTTCTGTATGCTTTGATTCCATTCCTGCTGTATGATTTGATTTAACTTCCTGCTGTATGATTTGATTCCATTCCTACTGTATGATTTGATTCCATTTCTGCTGTATGATTTGATACCATTCCTACAGTATGATTTGATTCCATTCCTACAGTATGATTTGATTCCATTCATTCTGTATGCTTTGATTCCATTCCTGCTGTATGATTTGATTTAACTTCCTGCTGTATGATTTGATTCCATTCCTGCTGTATGATTAGAGTCCATTCCTGCTGTATGATTTGATTTAACTCCTACAGTATGATTTGATTCCATTCCTACTGTATGATTTGATTCCATTCCTGCTGTATGATTTGATACCATTCCTACAGTATGATTTGATTCCATTCCTACAGTATGATTTGATTCCATTCCTTCTGTATGCTTTGATTCCATTCCTGCTGTATGATTTGATTTAACTTCCTGCTGTATGATTTGATTCCATTCCTGCTGTATGATTTGATTCCATTCCTACTGTATGATTTGATTCCATTCCTACAGTATGATTTGATTCCATTCCTGCTGTATGATTTGATTCCATTCCTTCTGTATGCTTTGATTCCATTCCTGCTGTATGATTTGATTTAACTTCCTGCTGTATGATTTGATTCCATTTCTGCTGTATGATTTGATTCCATTCCTACTGTATGATTTGATTCCATTTCTGCTGTATGATTTGATTCCATTCCTACTGTATGATTTGATTCCATTCCTACTGTATGATTTGATTCCATTTCTGCTGTATGATTTGATTCCATTCCTGCTGTATGGTTTGATTCCATTCCTACAGTATGATTTGATACCATTCCTGCTGTATGATTTGATTCCATTCCTACTGTATGATTCGAGTCCATTCCTGCTGTATGATTTGATTCCATTCCTGCTGTATGGTTTGATTCCATTCCTGCTGTATGGTTTGATTCCATTCCTACAGTATGATTTGATACCATTCCTGCTGTATGATTTGATTCCATTCCTACTGTATGATTCGAGTCCATTCCTGCTGTATGGTTTGATTCCATTCCTGCTGTATGATTTGATTCCATTCCTACTGTATGATTTGATTCCATCTCTGGTGTATGATTTGATTCCATTCCTGTTGTATGATTTGATTCCATTCCTGCTGTACGATTTGATTCCATTCCTGTTGTATGATTTGATTCCATTCCTACTGTATGATTTGATTCCATTCCTGCTGTATGATTTGATACCATTCCTACTGTATGATTTGATTCCATTTCTGCTGTATGATTTGATTCCATTCCTACTGTATGATTTGATTCCATTCCTACTGTATGATTTGATTCCATTCCTACTGTATGATTTGATTCCATTCCTGCTGTATGATTTGATTTAACTCCTGCTGTATGATTTGATTCCATTCCTGCTGTATGATTTGATTCCATTCCTACAGTATGATTTGATTCCATTCCTACTGTATGATTTGATTCCATTCCTACTGTATGATTTGATTCCATTCCTGCTGTATGATTTAATACCATTCCTACTGTATGATTTGATTCCATTCCTGCTGTATGGTTTGATTCCATTCCTGCTGTATGATTTGATTCCATTCCTTCTGTATGCTTTGATTCCATTCCTGCTGTATGATTTGATTTAACTTCCTGCTGTATGATTTGATTCCATTTCTGCTGTATGATTTGATTCCATTCCTACTGTATGATTTGATTCCATTTCTGCTGTACGATTTGATTCCATTCCTGCTGTATGATTTGATTCCATTCCTGCTGTATGATTTGATACCATTCCTACAGTATGATTTGATTCCATTCCTACAGTATGATTTGATTCCATTCCTTCTGTATGCTTTGATTCCATTCCTGCTGTATGATTTGATTTAACTTCCTGCTGTATGATTTGATTCCATTCCTACTGTATGATTTGATTCCATTTCTGCTGTATGATTTGATACCATTCCTACAGTATGATTTGATTCCATTCCTACAGTATGATTTGATTCCATTCCTTCTGTATGCTTTGATTCCATTCCTGCTGTATGATTTGATTTAACTTCCTGCTGTATGATTTGATTCCATTCCTGCTGTATGATTAGAGTCCATTCCTGCTGTATGATTTGATTTAACTCCTACAGTATGATTTGATTCCATTCCTACTGTATGATTTGATTCCATTCCTGCTGTATGATTTGATACCATTCCTACAGTATGATTTGATTCCATTCCTACAGTATGATTTGATTCCATTCCTTCTGTATGCTTTGATTCCATTCCTACTGTATGATTTGATTTAACTTCCTGCTGTATGATTTGATTCCATTCCTGCTGTATGATTTGATTTAACTTCCTGCTGTATGATTTGATTCCATTCCTGCTGTATGATTTGATTCCATTCCTACTGTATGATTTGATTTAACTTCCTGCTGTATGATTTGATTCCATTCCTGCTGTATGATTTGATTTAACTTCCTGCTGTATGATTTGATTCCATTCCTGCTGTATGATTTGATTCCATTCCTTCTGTATGCTTTGATTCCATTCCTACTGTATGATTTGATTTAACTTCCTGCAGTATGCTTTGATTCCATTCCTGCTGTATGATTTGATTTAACTTCCTGCTGTATGATTTGATTCCATTCCTGCTGTATGATTTGATTCCATTCCTACTGTATGATTTGATTCCATTCCTACAGTATGATTTGATTCCATTCCTGCTGTATGATTTGATTCCATTCCTTCTGTATGCTTTGATTCCATTCCTGCTGTATGATTTGATTTAACTTCCTGCTGTATGATTTGATTCCATTCCTACAGTATGATTTGATTCCATTCCTGCTGTATGATTTGATTCCATTCCTACTGTATGATTTGATACCATTCCTGCTGTATGCTTTGATTCCATTCCTACTGTATGATTTGATACCATTCCTGCTGTATGCTTTGATTCCATTCCTACTGTATGATTTGATTCCATTCCTACTGTATGATTTGATTCCATTCCTACTGTATGATTTGATTCCATTCCTGCTGTATGATTTGATTCCATTCCTGCTGTATGGTTTGATTCCATTCCTGCTGTATGATTTGATTCCATTCCTGCTGTATGGTTTGATACCATTCCTACAGTATGATTTGATACCATTCCTACTGTATGATTTGATTCCATTCCTGCTGTATGATTTGATTTAACTCCTACAGTATGATTTGATTCCATTCCTGCTGTATGGTTTGATTCCATTCCTGCTGTATGATTTGATTCCATTCCTACTGTATGATTTGATTCCATTCCTACTGTATGATTTGATTCCATTCCTGTTGTATGATTTGATTCCATTCCTTCTGTATGCTTTGATTCCATTCCTACAGTATGATTTGATTCCATTTCTGCAGTATGATTTGATTCCATTTCTGCTGTATGATTTGATTCCATTTCTGCAGTATGATTTGATTCCATTCCTGTTGTATGATTTGATTCCATTCCTTCTGTATGCTTTGATTCCATTCCTGCTGTATGATTTGATTCCATTCCTACTGTATGATTTGATTCCATTCCTACTGTATGATTTGATTCCATTCCTACTGTATGATTTGATTCCATTCCTGTTGTATGATTTGATTCCATTCCTTCTGTATGCTTTGATTCCATTCCTGCTGTATGATTTGATTCCATCTCTGGTGTATGATTTGGTTCCATTCCTGCTGTATGATTTGATTCCATGTCTTTCATATAAAACATCAGCCAGTTCAACTTATTACCACAGTCTTTCTAACAATCTGATAAATATGGACCAGGCTTACAAACTTATCTAAAGTATAAACTGTGAACTTGCATAAATTCATCTTATTATTGTAATCATGACGTGACAAGGAATAGGGTCGCCTGTCCAACCTCGTGGGTTTTCTCCGGGTCCTCCGGTTTCCTCCCACAGCTAAAGACCCCTACGCGAAAGCGAATTTTTGAAATAAAATTGAACCATATGTTAGTCCCGAAATGACCTAGTCTGTGTCGAGTGGAATTTAAACCCCAATATGATGTCATTGATTTAATCATGTATACTGTCAGCATTATCTATATTTTATTGATTGGTTGATTGATTTTACTAATTGATTTTATTTATTTATTATCTTATCTTATCTTATCTTATCTTATCTTATCTTATCTTATCTTATCTTATCTTTATTTTATTCTAATTATAGACTGATTTTATTTTGGTTGTATTGAATTATTGAGTTAGGTATATTTACTATAAGTATAAAAAAAACTACAATATGGTTCTTTACCAACAGTAAATTAAAAAAAAATAAAACAAAAATATGCTTACCTGACATTATTTATTATTTTCATTATTAACCATTACAACATAAAATCCAACACCCTTCGATGGGCATGAAACATCGGTATACCAGTAAGCAATATACTCAAGTAATCCAGAAAATATTAGTACGTAGCATCATGTGCTTCACAATGTCCGCCATCGACAAGATGTCCTCGATAAACCAGTATTTTGTATTCGATAAATCATTAGTACCCCATCTCACAGCTCTCCCTCCATTTCTTGTCACATCCCACCCTTCCATCTCTTGTCACAGCTCTCCCGCCATCTTTTGTCACAAAAAAAGATTAGCATGACATCTGTTGAATATTATGGTTTCTTCAGTACTGAATGTAAATATCTTTACACTTTCAACTTAAATTGTTTAACATTTTTTATGTCGCGTAGTTTTAAATAGAGCGTATTAAATAACGACCGTAACCCCAGCTATAGTGATATACGTCCGTGACTTTGACATGCATTCATAAAGTGTGGCTACTGACTGTGCTATTATTAAAGAACTCAACATAACCTTTAGCCCATGAACACACATGTTAGACACATTAACACACATTTAGACGCATGTTTTGTCAAACTACGGTTATTTAAGAGTGTGTTTTTATATAGCCCGTTCCAGTCTGTTTCACACGTCTCCCTTCCCTCGACAGTCAATTTTAATATACAGGTCACAATTCTATGGAATACAATTACTGCTTTTTACTGAGCGACGTTTCGACTAGGCTTCTCTAGTCATAGCTTGATAATGACTAGAGAAGCCTAGTCGAAACGTCGCTCAGTAAAAAGCAGTAATTGTATTCCATAGAATTGTGACCTGTATACTCTAGTTCAATTACTAAATGCCATTGAAACAGTCAATTTTAACACGGTGTTGTTTTTTTAAAGTGACCTTTTTTATGCCACATGTGATAAGTCGATTCGAGCGCTATTTTCCACATATGGTAAGTCTGCGTGCCATAATTATCAACCATGAAACCAATAGATTATGGTAACATTAATACTATTACAAAGCAAGGAAAACTTCAATCATTTCCGGTCAGCGGTCGAAGGAATCAGGTTAACACACATGTCACGTGGCACGACTGTAGAACACAATGATCATTCGATTTCAACGAAACTTATCGATTATGATAACATTAACGATATCTCAAATTGGGCAAAATCTTGGACACTTCCAGTCAGTGGTTCTGTAGTTTGTACGTGACAAGGAGTAGGGTCGTCTGTCCAGCCTTGTGGGTTTTATCCGGGTCTGCCGGTTTCCTCCCACAGCTAAAGACCACTACACGCAAACTAATTATTGAAATAAAATTGAAACATATGTTAGTCCCGAAATGACCTAGTTTGTATCGAGTGGACGTTAAACCCAATTTCTCTCTTTCTCTCTTTCAAGCCACTATCAAACTGATACCCCCTTTCCCATTAAATCCTAAAAATCACCACTTCTCCCAGCTCATGTGTAATATAAATATGCTGTTCAAGATTCAAGAATTATAAACATATTAGATCGGCAATTGAGACCGTGGAAGTTATTCTATACTTTTTAATTACTTTTCCAAACTAGGGGCATCCATGATGATTCGAAGATGGTCATCGCATAATGTGATGAACCCAGGTGAAGAAGGAACATCGTATGGTCAGGTGATGTGGCGAAATAAGAAATTGTATGATATTTGTAAAGGCGAGGTTTTGACACGAGTAGGTTGGTTGAAGTTTAAAATAAATATTGCATTTAGACAAGCTTTCCTGCTCTCGTTTTTAATAATGGTAGTTTGATAGAGATTCGAAATACATAATCCCTGTCTAATCGAGACAAAAGTCTAATCTATTGTCAGGAAGAAACAATTGGTTTCACGGCATTAATGTGAAAGCCTTGTTTTAAATCTGTAGAAGAAGGCTGACCATATGAGTTTACGACCAGTGTATGTCTACATCGGACCTAGTAACACAAACTGGCCTGGGCAAAATGTGAGATTTATATATTGTTATTCCACATGGCAGGATATTGGTCCATTTATCGGAGGTAGTTGTGGACGTGATTTTGTCACTTACGGATGTTTCTTCTTCATGCTATACAGCGTTTGTTTTGTTTTTTGAAATATGTAGTTTGTTTTCTTTAAAAACATCTTCTTTATTTATATATCACTTGAGAGCTGTTTCCAGAACTTTTTGTATATATATATTATTTTTAGATAGAATGCTCAGTACATCACATCCTAAACATCAACCATTTACAATAGCTGAGTTTGGAGCTGCTGATGGGTCCGTATCAATGGAACTTATGACAGATATTATAGGTAAGCTGGTGGTTCGATCAACCATTATCGGCAAGGGATAGCGTATGGTCACATTCGGGTGGGACGAAAAACCGAGGACCGTGTACATAACGACGTGCATGTAAAAGAACCCTTGTCAGTTGTAATTGAAAAACAACAAATTTTATTTCAAAATGGTAATGTTTTTTCCTATTTGAGGATTTAAAACACCTCTGGGTAAACTTAAATTCAAATAAAAAATGGTAAATTACGGGGGAGCGGGGGGGGGGCAAATAATCTGTCGACTAAAAGGCGTCGGGGTAGGATGTGGCTTAGATGTTATCCTTCTCATCAAACGGCAGATACCCATGCTTGTTATTTTGTTACCAAAACGGTGATAACACAGAAGCAATCTTGATTGGATCAAAGTACTCACTATCCAAATCCAATATATCAACTTTGACAATAGTCGACTTAGGAATTAAAATATCCTGGTGTTTACATCGTTTCAGAACATATGACACTTCAAATTATTTATATCTATAAAATCTGCTTTTACCATTCGTCAAACAAATTGTTGACGGACACCCGGACAGGGGCGACAACATAATACGCGGGTGTATAAAAACTGTTTTGCCATCTATCATAATCATTGGTCATCCCGTATCTAAAACTAGACTATTCCAGTAGCCTGTTATCTGGTATATCCCACAAACAGACACCAGAACTCCAACCGTTTTGAAATACTATAGCTTAAATCATCATTTGCTGAACCAGGAACTAGAATATCACTCAGGCACTCAAAGAACTTCATTGGCTACCCACTAAATCAAGAATAGATTTTAAGCTCTTGTACCTGGCGTTTCAGAGTTTGTCACCATTTTGTTCTGGACATGTACCTCAAAAGAAACAACCATCATCTAGTTTCAAAATATAAACTCAAATTATATTATTATATTTGTAGGTCTTATTCGAGATAAGAGTCATCCAGATAAAGAAATACATATCATGTATAAAGATCTACCCACAAATGATTTTAATTCATTATATAAACGGATGAATGGTTAGTAATTTCGTACCTTTTTGCACGAAGGTAAATAATTTTCAACCATTTTGTATAAAAATTTATCTTCCATATAGTTATCTTTTCCTTTTTTCCTTTAAAATTGGGGGGTAAGATGACCGAATGGTTAGCACGCGCGCGCTGTATCATACGGTCTGTCATGGCGTCAACTGGCGGGGTTTCGATTCCCCGGTTGTACGTGACAAGGAGTAGGGTCGCCTGTCCAACCTCGTGGGTTTTCTCCGGGTCCCCCGGTTTCCTCCCACGAGCTAAAGACCCGTACGCACAAGCGAATTATTGAAATAAATTTGAACCATGGGTTAGCCTCGAAATGACCTATTTTGTGTCGAGTGGACGTTAAACCCCATTTCTCTCTCTCTCCCTCCCTCCTTTAAAATTATACATTTCGAACTGCCAATTACAATATCTATGGTAAGAGGGCGTCGGTAAGTTTTCGTCGTAACTTTTGTCCCAATCTTTTGTACTGTATTAGTAAGTGCATGATAGGAGAACCGCACTACGAACAAAACAAACCTGTCAAAACAACCCAGCGGCACAATAAAATATGCAGTGGGTTCCTTTAATGTTTTATTGTATGTTAATGCTTGTCTTTAATGTTTTATTGTATGTTAATGCTTGTCTTTAATGTTTTATGTATTGTTTAATGGTCGAGAGCGAGACATTGCGTAATATATTGTAACAACAAGAGGACCGTCAGGTCCGAGTGTTTTTACAATATATTACGCAATGTCTCAGCTCGAGACCATTAAACATCTTAAAATACAGACACTCCGCACGTGCGTTTACAGTGAAATACGTCACTCGAGTCTAATATTTGACAAGGTACGATTGGCAAGTTGCCCGTACGATTATTTGAAATAATGGTACGCCAACATCAAAGGGTGACGTCACATCTGTATTTTAAGTATTGTTTAATGGTCGAGAGCGAGACATTAAGTAATATATTCTAACAACATGAGGGCCATAGGCCCTCATGTTTTTACAATATATTACGCAATGTCGTAAGCTCGAGACCATTAAACATCTTAAAATACTGACACTCAGCACGAGCTTTTACGTCACATTAGTCCAATATCTCACTGGTTTGAATAAAGTACTATTGGCAAGTTGCCCGTACGATTATTTGAAATAATGGTACGCCAACATCAAAGGGTGACGTTACATCTGTATTTTAATGCATGTTAATGCTTGTCTTTAATGTTTATTGTATGTTAATGCTTGTATTCCATTCGGTATAAAACGTTAACGAGAAAGCATTTGTAACATTCATCCGTAAACTGTATAGTGTAAGCAACTGTTATGCGCGTGTTCTCGTCCTGTTGGTAGTCTATCACCACGAACGACAAGTAATTTTCATGGAGATGTGTCTAGTGCTGAATGGGTTTAACATCAGACCTGAGCTGAAAGGGTTCTACAAAACCCCTACAAGAACCTGCTCTCAACCTGCAGGAAAGATAATATCCAAAATAGATTAGTGTCAAAACTATACAAATATCAGACCCATTAGCTTGTACCAGTATTGTAGACAATGATTCCCAATTAGGATATCAGACCTGTTAGCTTGTACCAGTATTGTAGACAATGATTCCCAATTAGGATATCATCGAACCCAAAGTAGTTCGCCATGTTTGATTAGTGCAATTATTTGTTTGTGAGATAAAAAAAAATAAAATCATTTCCAGGAATTATACCTAAGCCCCGATCATATCTATTGGACTAGATAATGTGCTTGTAACGACCTCTGGTACCAGTTTCTTTAACCAATGTTTCCCTAGTAGCTCAGTTGATCTGGCATTGGCTTTTAATACTACACATTTCTTATCAAAGTAAGTGATGTTTAACAATACTGCTCCAAATATTTTCTGTACGCTTTCTATGTAATATTGCTATACACAAGCAATGTGTCGATTAATATATTGATAAGGAAGTACATGTTTATATAATATAGGGAGAGGGTGTAAACAACTAATACAAGGAGGGAGTTAAGTACCCTTTCATTCTGTCTTGTCCTAATCTCGATCCTTATTGCCTTCGCGTCGCTACGAGTAACACAGCGAAGTCAAGAAGGCAAGAGTAGTGATAACCGGAAGACGAGGTGAAATAATTTCTTGGCATCGCCTTGTCATTCCTTGCCTTCTTGGTCTCGCGCTGTTAACTCCTAGCGAGAATTGTCTTGCCTTATTGCCGTCGCTTCGCTATGAGTCTATAACCGAAAGGCGAAGGGAAGAAACCGTTAAGTAATTTTACCTTGCCGATTATGACAACTGGGACCAAAGAAACTAATTTGATACTAATGATTTCCTTTTTTTAAAGTTTATAAAGATATGTCTATGTCTATATCTTCAGACCACTTCCTCTGTCTGACCATGTGTATCGATTCTTCCCTGGAAATCAGGAAGAAAGGGAGGCTATTACAAAACAAGCAGCCGATGATTGGTTGGTGTTCCTCAAACACAGAGCAAATGAATTAAAACAAGGTATTAGTTTTAGGGTATAATAATTTATCCATCATTTTGTATCTTTCAACAATAATAATGAATATAATGAATTTGTATAATCACGTCTATAAATTGTTTATGATCTTTTTTGTCATAACTTAAACTTTTCTTACGGTATACTGTGACTGTAAATATATTTAGTTGTCATTATGAAGTAATAACTCATGACAATCCATACAATACTAGATCTATGATACAGGAGGTTGGGGAGTTTTCTCAACAATTGGAGAGACGGAAGCTACATCAGATAAACCAGCCATGATGGGTCCTCACGATGTATTTGCTATTATGGATGACATTTGGAAAGGTTTCGTTTCTAAGGGCCTGATAACTAAGGTTAATAATGTTAATCCAGTTTTACAATATCAGTCTTTAAATCCAAGCATACTGGCTGTCAATCACATGGCATTTGCTGTTGGGGTGGTTACATCGGTGGGTCAATACAGAATACAGTCGTTGCTCATTTGTTTCAGTAAGAATACAGCCGTTGTACATCTGTTTCAGTAAGAATACAGTCGTTGTACATCTGTTTCAGTAAGAATACAGTCGGTGCTCATTTGTTTCAGTAAGAATACAGGAAGTGCTCATTTGTTTCAGGAAGAATACAGACGATGTTCATTTGCTGCATGTTTTAGAAACGCACGTGAGTTACAGGAACCATTTAACTCTGAAGAATTACGGAAAACTGGTTTGAGATTTGATGACGTTAAATTTGCTATTCTCCCTTGCTTCTACACCACAGAAAAAGGTAATTATCATTTTGTTATTGCCCGTCATCATTAGCCCAATCGGAGCAGAATAGTAGGACGTTAACCCCCATTCATTTTATGTGTTTTCTATTGGTAGCCATCATCGGTATGTTTTAACATCACCATGACCGCCGTTCAAGGTGATCTCCTTCCCGCCGTCCTTGTAATTGTAATTTAATAATCCCCATAGCTGTAATAAGAGGGTTTGAACATCCCCTCTACACAGTAGGATCAGATCGGGTCTAACACGAGGCATACCTTTATTTCCTTCAGATTTCAAACATTTGTCTAGTTGATTAAGAACTAGGTATAAAGTCTTAACCTAGACACTGGAGCCGCCCCTTGGAACTATAAACTTATTCTATAATATGACACAAGATTGATGGGTACAGAGTTGGCAATTAATAATTGGTCATCAACATTATTAAATAAAATAAATAAATAAATAAACCCGGATTATGCAATGGATCATTTAGAGATTACAAGAGATCACCATATACATGGTACTCTTTTTGACTTTATACTGTTCTAAATTCTTTCAGAACAGAAATAAAATGAAATGGGGTTTAAAGCCCTATTGTTCTGCTCCGGCTGGGCTAATGACGATGGACATACGCCATACAGTGAGCTATGGGACACCGCGGCCTACTCGTAATTTGAATTCCAACTGTCACAGGACCTCGGTTTTCATTCCATTCGATCGACTATAATTTGTCAATTGCCACGTCCCCGTCCTGCACCACGGATAATGGAAAACCGCACTGAAAAATTCCGATAAACCTTCCCAGCTAACATCGGGATGGAACAGAGGACCCCCAACGTATGAAAGACGCCAAGAGTTAATTATATCCTGGGATAGTTTACCACCCAATACGGGTAACTTGTCCAGCTTTCGACACGGTTGATCCTTCTATTCTTTTTCGTAGACTATATTTTAAAATCGGTATTAGTGACTCTGCACTTTAGCTTTAGAAAGCAATCTTGTGGGTAGTAAATAAAGGATTTTAGTTAAGTGTTGTCTGAATCTACTTTATCATCTGTGGTTCCTCAAGGTTCTGTTCTTGGTCCGATTTTATTTACTCTTTATGCGTCACCATTAGATGATATGGTCAGAAAATAAGCTTTCATTTGTATGAAGATGATACCTAATTATATACTTCATTTACACCTAATTGTCAGTCTTTTTTGAATTTATCAAAACTGCAACTTGCAAACTTATTAGTAAAATAAGAAAAGGGAAGCCAAAGAACGCCCCAAAAATAAATAATGATAAAGCTCATAGATAAATTACAAAAAAGTACAGAGCACTGCAGCTAGACTTGTTACTTTTACTAAGAAATGTGATCACATAACGCCTTTTTTTTTTATATAATTTACACTGGTTATCGGTTAAATATCGAACTGATTTTAAGATTATACTATCACGATATCCCGCTTTGCCCGGGGCCCAAGATCTGCTTGCACACTCACCTGCTAGCTTATATCATACGTTACTATTATTAAACTTAATTAGCATAATAAACAGAGTTACCTCCCCGTTAACCATTAATTGCAACTAATAAATGATCTTGACCTACAGCATTCACGGGATCATACTGATTAATTTGATACCAGATATGTGGGAGTGGAGCACCGTGATGAAGCGTGATGGGCGAACATACAAACATACGCACCCCCACGCACACACACCATCATACACACTTTGATTTTATGTATATAGACGAGATAAATATTACTCTCAAATTCCTTCCTTTCACTGCCCGTTAAGGTGACCCGAGGGTCTGCAGCTGTTGGCAATATCACATCGAGGTGGACGCGGGCTTTAAATTAATCTGTATTACACACGTTGTAATTAAAAGTGACTGATAATATGTTTTCGAGTTATAATAAAAATAGTTTAAATCTCGTAAAAATCGTATACGTATTTCCTTTCATTATCCATTCAGCAGGAAGGAAAAGTCCGTCCCCAGATAAAGCTGGAAATATTAATACTCACAACAAGACAAACAAAACGTCTTAAGGATCCATATGATCCAAAATATATTTAATAATAAACATTCCTTATCTGTAATTTGAGGTTTATAAAATCATAACCAAACAATTACAATTACTAAAATTATTTAATATGATATTTCACAATTCAGATGATATATTATTTGATATGAAATGTGTGCAATTGTTAATAGATTCTGCATGCGGAGAACCAACTTCTATTGTGGTAGTTGTGATGATACGTTTGTGTACTAAAACAAATTTAGCCACGAATAACAAAACGACAAATATTGCAAGACATAAAATACTCTCACCGACTAATAGATAACAGTACCATATGGGAGTTAAATCTTCCATCAAATGCCCCATAATAATAGGATTGATCATGGTGCCGGTTGACGCACCTATTAATATAATAGATGTTACTTTACCATTTACGTTGAGGAGGTTTTCTTGTGCCCAGGTAAACCCGGTTGGATATATAACAGACATTGAAAGCCCGATACAAATGGCAAAAATCCAAATTCCTACGTGTATTTGATAATGCGAACAGAGTAAAAAGCCAGTCAAGCTTAAAATTAAACTTGCTAGGAATACAAATATTAATACAGCCGGTCGAAAACAACGTATGACACCAATTCCTGAAAATCGCCCTACAGCAAAAGAGGCCCAAAATACGGCATTGACCTGCGTTCCCTTTGCCTTACTCCAGTTCAGTTGCATTACCACAAAAGTCATTAAGTAAGCTGTAAATGTGTCCTCTACAGCACAATACGTTAAATAGAACAGATTTAAAAGGACAACGGCCATTATACAAAATTTCCAAGGAAGATCTCTTGGTAGTCCGTCTTCATCCTGCTTCTTTGGCTGATTCCTTTTCATCTTCTGTGACTTGTAACGACAATATATCACCATGAAAGGAATGGCGGATAGTAAGGTTACAATACCAGATATTATATAAGCATAGATTAATTTAGTTTCAATAGGTTCAGCAATGGTGGTGATATTGTTTTCTAGAGTTGAGTTATCATTGGTGATGTTATACTCTAATAGCGCAGTATTCAGCACAAGAGTAGAAGGTAGGGTCGTCCCGGCTGTAAAACCTATTGACGAGGAGTTGGTTGATATCTCTTCCGGTTTAGGTGCAAGGAATGGTGCTGTCAATAAGGGGGAGATCACTCCACCAAATGCAAACGCAAACGACGCGGCCTGCATGTATGGCCTACCTTCCTTTTCTCCCCAAAGAGAAATAAGTCGAGCGTTTCCAGCTGCAAAACAAATTAAATACAGGATTATGTAATTCCGGTGATGGTGGTAACATTATTAACCTCGACTATTCCAGAATATAGTCTCTACTTCGACTACAACGATAATAGTTTGAACAAAATATAAAATGTCAAGGGTCATTCGGAGATCCGGGTCCTCAGAGTCTTACAATTTGTTGACCTGCATCTTGTATTCCAAATATGCAGACTGCATTGTCAACTGATGAAATAAAACATATCCCATAAGTAATGACCCGAACTGTAAACCCAATTCATCCGCCAGGCATTCGGTTACCATATAAACAACGGTTTTTATTCCGTCCAGACAAAGACTATATAGGCCTAGGTGATCGAGACACATGTAATCCGTGATTTTACTATGATAAAAACAATAATAGACATGATGAACATAAACAGGACAGTTAAATTCGATGATAGCTTCTGCCTTTATGGCGCCCAGAAGTCACCGATGTACTCACTGATTCTTCTGATCTCGTCGCGTTTACCCCAGGAGAACAAAGAACGAACGGTGTTTTAACCTTTCTTGTATGGATAGACATATCGACCAAAATATGTATTATTGTTTTATTAATACAACATATTTTTACTATTTGTCGGGCGTAAGCTACCAAATTTATTAATGAGGCCATTTCTTAGTGCAAAATGATAGGTGTAGCAGTTCGGGCGATAAATATGAAATTTAATAAATCCAATTCCATCGATTTAAAAACAGTTTGACGAACATCAATTATTATTCCTGTATCTGATTAATCTACCTGCTTCCTACCTGTATCCAATCCGCTCATAAAACACGAATTAGCCCAGAAGATCACCATCATCAGACCATATGATGAACACAGTGGTAGTGCGGCGACCGTGACAGCCATGAATACTAAAATCAAACACAGTAGAAGCGTCTTGTTAAATCTGTCATACAGCACGCCACCTAGTAAGGAACCACACAGATAGCCTACAGAAGCAGCAGTAAAAAACGTGGAAGCTTTCTCCACATTAGTATTAGTGATGAGTTGGATATCCAAGAATGATGGACCCCTCTGACCAATTTGAATACCCTAAACCAAAAGAAACAGTATGGGCTATACGAATATAGAAGTGTGCTAGACAAAATAAAAAGTTAAAGAGAGATTTGTTAAGAACAAATAAAGTATTTAAACTTCTTTGATGTCGGTTTAATAAACTAATGAATTGAGTGTGTTGTATGGATTAGTGGCGTGGTAAGTATACACTTTAGATCCTAGTATAAGAATAAACTGTAGATCCTAGCATAAGCAAGCTGTAGATCTTAGTACGCGCATAAACTGTAGATCCTAGTATTAGTTGCAGATCCTAGTATACGCATAAGCTGTAAATCCTAGTATAAGCATAAGCTGTAGAAGCATATGTTGTAGATAACAGTATAAGCTGTAAATCCTAGTATAAGCATAAACTGTAGATCCTAGTATAAGCATGAGCTGTAAATCCTAGTATAAGCATAAACTGTAGATCCTAGTATAAGCATAAGCTGTAAATCTTAGTATAAGCATAAGCTGTAGATCCTAATATAAGCATAATCTGTAGATCCTAGTATAAGCATAAACTGTAGATTCTAGTATATGCAACTAAAATACTTGGTGGCAATAATTGATATTCAACCTAATAAAGTCAAATTAGACCTAAAAAATGAAATGGGGTAGAAAGATTAGGAAATCTTTGTCATCCTATGTATATTTCTATGTTCCTTTATATTTGTTCTAACATGTTTAGCGTAACATGAAAATGAATGCTTTTATCGATATTCCGTAATGCTAATGGACGCTGAATATCGATCGGGTTAAAAACTTTATTTTCTAGTATGTTCACAAGGCATCTTATAAGGTTCGTCCTTTCACCACCATGATGTGTCGTATCAATTTAAAAATAATCTGAAAGATGGAAACGGTGGCGGGATATTATATCGTGGATACAAAAAAATTAAAATGACTTCCGGTCAATAATCACACGTGACTGCCAAGGACAACCCATGCAGTGACAGCACCTACTACTCAAAATCACTGAGTTAACATATACTACTATAGCTAGAGTCGCAAATACTACTATGGTCAGAGACGCATATAGACTACTATGGCTAGAGCTTACTCAAGTTACTCAAGCATCAATGGGGAACGTCAACAAGAAGAGAAGAGACGAACAACGGCATGCACCAAGGAAGGGCTTCTTACTTGTAAGATATGATTTCATTTTCTCATGATGTCAAGAACAGTTGATTCCAGTAACAAGTCAAATTGTGGTCATAAACGTTTCATTCTGTTGGCAAGTCATGTTGGTGTCATAAACAGTTGATTCCAGTAACATTTGAGTCAAGTTATGGTCATGAACAGTTGATTCCAGTGACAAGTCTCATTGGTGTCCTGAACATTTGCGTCCGGTGTCCACAAGAAAAGAAAAATGGTTGCCGCGATTTGACCCCGTATGGTGCTTAAGGCATTAGATAAATCTTATTGGGTTTTGCTCTGCTACGATCGTTACCCATCGCATCAGTACGCGTCAGACCAGTGAGGGGCACTTTACTGACATTTATAAGTCCATATCAAATAAAGATTAATAGTACTTACTAAACACCAGAACGCAAAAGAAAGTGAAAGACTCTGAATAAATTTGGATCTGTATGACGTCTGTCTAAGTTTCTGTATGAAAGACTTCGTTTTAGATTCAGCTTGTGCAGCTTGAGCTGTCGCTTTACCAACACTGATAGGTGATGCCATAGTATTAGTTTCCAATACCGACTCGGACTTAGTAGTGTAGAAAATACCTAAGTAAAGATAAATGCAAGCTACGGATTTTAGTATCGCCGGGCTCTTAATTACCGAATCGGAATCAAAGTAACAAATCAACCAAAATAAACCCCTCTCCTCTTCTGGTATACGTGTCCGAGATTGTTTACTTCAATTTGCCACGAAATACATTGAAGTAGTGGTCAAAAGATGTGTAATTCGGACAGTGGATATCCGGACAGACTGGCACGAGGGGTAACCTTTCCCAGGCATGGACGAACAAGCAATCTGGGCCCTCTGGACACTTGGGCACGCTGGGCAGTTGGACGACAATTTGGGGGGGGGGGGGCAAAGAGCATATATTTGTTTATACAATTGACTTTTACAACTTTGATAATGGTGCAAATTTCAACTGAAGCTTGGGTTGCGGATATTTCAAGTTTAGCCATTGTACCGTGTTAGGAGACAAAAATACGCGTACAAACCCTTCCTTTAATACAATATTTCAATCGAACTATTTGAAAGAAAAGGATCGCTTATTGTACTGTGATTTTTTGTCAAAGATTTTTACTAAAGAAGAAGAAAATTTAGGACCACGAGGCCACACGGCATAGATAATGTTTTCTGTAATTCAATGTTAAATGAATTGTTCGTAATCCCGGGCAGTTTCAATATATTTACATCAAGAAGTTAACAAAACGACAGAATCATTCTCTTGTTATTGAGAAGATACTCTTGTAGTCTCGAACACTCAGAACTCATTATTTTCAACGTACGGAGGGTCTGGGCCATATGTCCACATTTGACGAAATTTTAATGGATAAGCAACCGCATAAAAAAAAGAAACTCTCTGTTACGCATAGGCAATGAAACAGTTCTTTTAGCTAAAGTCAAGAAAGAGTTACGCCCCCTCCCCACCGAAATAAATCCCACCATTCATGAATTGTTATAAACAAACATGTGACAACGAATTAGGATTGATAACAATAAGTTTTATAATAAAAAGATTAGGAGTGTTGTATGTTTAACGGACAAAGCAAATATACTTTTCTAAAATAGCATTTCTTAATCACGTTACTTCCATTATGACTAAAGCTTACATCAAGACATTGTTCATTCCGCTTGTATATTTCTTACCTTGTTCTCCATTTTTACGTTCGGGATCAAAGGCCAGATTATCCATTGCTACAGTATGATTTGATTCCATGTCTAACTAATAAAACAACAGTTGAGACTAATGTCGACCAAGATAGTTTAATATATAGGCATAACATTCATCTATATTATAGTCTGTCTGTGTACTGGCATAAATTCATCTTATTATTGTAATTATCTTATGATGTAATACACTGAAAATACACTAGGAGAGTTGCTTATCTACGTTTCGCCTGTTTACACATTCAAATTTGTATTACCTAAATGGATGCAATACAAACAATAGTGGTATTTATTTATGTATTATAAAGATAACATCATTGGCTTTAAACTATTTATTCGTCATTCGACGTACGAGATAGAGAAACCAGACATACTCTTCAAAAAAAGTAGGGGATATTGAAATGCAAATACCTATGGAGGTTGTGATATGATAAATAGTCATGGACACTTGACAAGCTTTGAGAGTATATTCACAGAAGAACTTATCGCCCCAACAGAACCACTAAGCTTTACGTACGACACGCAATAGCGCCATACACGTGGGAGGGGTTCATTGTCAAATTGGACACTTCAAGGAAAGGTTGATGAAAACTGCCGCGTGCTGGTTTATCCTATCCATGTTTGCTTTCTTATCGGTTCTTGCATAAGATTTAGCGTATCTTTGCTTTAGTGTGTTACGTTTAATTTGCAATAGGATGTCTTCAGCACGATGGACGTCTACATGCACTACACAAGCCCAAGATCGATACATTCGTACACAGGTCCTGCGAACCCCCACCCGATTAGAATTTATTACATATTTCGAGAAGGTATTTGTTGAGTAATAAAACCTTCTAGTAGTTTATCGAGGGCTGGCCGTCCTTACCGCATGTTCAAAACATGCATGTTCAAAACATCATGTTCAAAACAAACGCCAAGGCTCTGCGATCTAACCTGGAAAGTTGTAATGCCCCGCCACACCGGAGTGGCGTCCTTACTGCGCTGCAAAGACCGTACGGCGAGTAGAAAATGCACAAGGTCGCCGGCAAATGTGAACACAATGTACGAAAATGTCCCAAAATTTTACAAACTTGAAAAAGAAAAAAGGTTTCACATGTTCCAGGGC